TAGATAAGTTTGAAGATAAATATCCAATATAAAATTCCACAGTGTTGCAACCCACTTGGTGAATTTTTCTACAAGTATAATTTCAGCAGTCAGCCTCAGCCTTGTCTCTTCCCCTTTCCATCTAAGCAGACACCTTACCTCAAAACATAATTATTGCTATGGTGATTTCTAAATTACTGGATCCATGGAGCCTACTTAACCTAATGCAAAAGGTCCTTTTTTCTTCCCCACTTTCCTCATTACTGAAGAACATTCTGGCCTGAACAATGGCTGTATGCATCAGCACTGATTTATTAAGTTTAGAGGATTTGCACTGTTGTTTCACAAAATGGTGTCAACTTTTAGCATGACTCTATTTGATGATGAATAGCTTTCCCAGGCCAAAGAGTTAATGACACCCAGAGCTTCTGTGCCTCCCACACTCCTGTGGTCCGAAAGGCCACGGATAATTTCTGCCAAATCCAGCCCGTAAAGAGAGAATTTATAATCAGCTTTAATGTATTTGGGAGCTAAAGTACCTTAGTCCTTCATCAAAGGGAATGATAAAAACCAGAATTAATATGGCTGGGTTTAATTATTTCTGAGTGCATAATTACTCTTTAGCTAACTGGACAGGAGGTGTGTTACTTCTCTTATTTTGAGCAGAGGAAAGGCATCTGCAAGCACACAGTAGTCACCATCAAGATCTAAAAATGCATCATGTTAGTGCCTCAGCATTGATTGCAATACAAACAGAATAAATATTTGAATAATAATTTAAATAATGCAAGAACTATTTTTAAATTAAATGAGTATGAGCTTCGTTAGAAGTGCCTCCTGCACACAGAGTTTCTTTAGCTTTTGTAGCGAGACTATTCCTTGCCTTTAGGAAACATAAAATGCAGTAATCACTTTTTTCCCCTTTTTAAAGTGACTTAGGGGTCTAATTTCCCATTTGCATTAATGAGAGTTATGGGTATGCACCAACATGAGACTAAGTGAGACTAAACCTTAGAGAGTCTTTTGATAAGTAAATCATCTTTGCATCAGCATTTTAGAAGCTTTAGTATGCTCTTTTCCCCCATTAGTTATGGTACCTGATTACTTTGTTGATATTTAATATTTATTACATAAACTTTAGCTAAAATTTAGGCTGGCACAGTAAGGCAGCATTATCTGTTTGAAGGCTTGTGAGTTAAACATAGTAATTTTTTTTATAATGGGTGCCCATTTTTGAAAGTGAAATGCTCAAAAAGTAAGATCAATTGGGCCTTCACAAAAGGTGAAGAGAAGGCTGCAGTAGAACAACAGTGAAAAGTAACTGAGGACAAAAGACTTCTGGCAATCATAGTTTTGTAAAATATTCCTTTTTGTTCCATTGGCTCATAGTCCATTATGTCTTAGTATTAATATTCTTAAAATTAGTTTCTGTTACCTGAAAAGAATATTAAAATGATGGAAGAACCCTAAAAAACCATATATTGAATGAACAGTCAGTGCTAAAGAAATAAACCTACGTTGGGGATACACTTAATTTACAAAATCATAAACTATCTGGAGAATATTAATTGAAAGCTGCAGAAAATATCTAAAAATTATACACATACTAAGCAATTTTATTTCTGATTTATTTTTACTTAAAAAGGCTATTGCTGCTACATTTTGTAGGTTCTTGCCATAAGATTTTATTCTGTTTATCTGCTTGTGATTTCAGCGTGTTTTCCTGTGTGAGGACTCAAAACATCAATCTTTCTTTATGATCATCCAGACACAGCGAGGCTGTTAGTCAAGAGTAATCAGTTATCTGGAGAATCAGAAGCAAAAGCCCTTTCTTACTGATTTTAGAATGAGAGTTATTGCTGAAAGGGGTGGAATTCTAATCCAGAGGTTCTCTTAATGCTGCTTCCATGACTTCAGAAAGTGTCTCCATCGTCTGGAGGTGAAACAGGCAGCACAGATCACGGCAGAGCTCTGCCTCCTCTCAGAGAACCCCAGGCTGAGCCCCTTGATGCTGCCCTTTTGACAGCCCTGTGCACACTGGGTCTTGAGCTGATGCTTCTTTTAGGGACTGCCCAGCAATTAAAAAATATGAATTAAGCTTCGCAGCACCCCTGTGTGCTTAGATAAAATATAAGGAGGTTCATGCCTGCTACGTGAGGGCCAAACTCTGCTTTGGTTTCTTGGACTCAGAGCATCACGGTTCCAGGAAGCAGAAAATCCGTCTGAAGGTGTAATGGATGTTGTCCATTATATTTGCAGAATGGAGTGAACTTGTGGGAGAAATAATCTGTCCTGTGTTTCTCAGGCAGGGTGAGTGGTGCCTGGTGGCTCTGCCACGTGCCTCCACAGGGATGAGTCCTCCTGCTCAGAGAGCCCTTGTGTTGTGAAACAGATCCATGGCTGTATTAAAAAAACATGTTTAATTTATGACAACTTAAAAATAGGTCAGCCCCTTTGCAAAAAGGAGTTGTCAAGCACTGGAACAGGCTGCCCAGGGAAGTGGCTGAGTCACCATCCCTGGAGGAATTTGAAAGATGTGTGAGTGTGGCTCCTGGGGACATGGCTTAGTGGTCGCCTTGGCAGTGCTGGGTTAATGCCTGGGCTAGAGCTTAAGGGCCTTTTCCAACCTAAACAATTCTATGATTTTAAGAAAGATGGTCTAATGTTTTTAAAATATTTTTCAGAGAACCTCAGAGCTGTATAGACATGAAAATTATCCGGGTTATTTTTAAAGCTAGCCCCAGTCATGTTTTACCGTATTGTAAAATCAGAAATGGTATGAGACCAGACATTTACATTGAGATGGTTGATGCACTTTGTCATTGAAGTTGAGATCTGGAACCATGATCTACACAAAATACCTGCCAAAGGCCAACTATTAAAAAAATGTATATCAAATATTGTCTTGATTTTATCTAGAAAATAAATTACCCATCTCTATGCAAGTTATTTGGAGAAATGTGTGTTTGCCTTTCCAGATGCCACTTTGTCCCTTTCTGGTGGCTTTTAAAATTTAAAATACAAGAAGCTATTAAGAACGTATGTGTGTGTGTGTATAAATATATATATATATATCCTTGCCTGGATCTTCCTCTGGATCTCCATTCTTAGGTACTCAGCTCTTACCATTCCTAAATTCACTCTTCCTGCTCTCTCTGCTGAAAATCCATCATGACACTGTCATTCTTTGCATTCTTTGCAAACCCATTTTCATTCTTTGCAGAGAGTTTTTATTTTTATTCTTTTAGGAGTTGTAATGGTATGAAAATGCTGGGCAGGAAGATATTTGAACGTGTGTTTGGATCAGGGCACATTATTCAGATACCAAATATTGCAGAGATTATATCCAGGCTTGTAGTAGGAAAAACTCACATCACCAAGGCTTTCACCTGAATAGAGTGGTTGTTACAGGTGGGATTATTAAAATGCTTGTGTTTTCTTTATGATGTATAATTCTAGTGTTCTGTATTTAGAATGAGTTAAAAACAATACTCCTGAGTGATGCAAGAATTAAGGTATTGATCTTTGGTTTTCAATAATACAGTCCAGTTCCTACATTCACAATTAAAGTCTCATGGTACTTCATGGTTTTTTCTGTTTCTTAAATTCATGCACCTGGTGAAAACATTTTATGATTTTTTTTTTAAAATGCATCACTCAAATACATGGTATTTTGCCTATAAATGACGAGTTTAGTGCTGAATAACTAATATCCTGTAAAATAACAGAGAGCTTTTTAAATACAAATGTTTTAATACTCCACAGTGCTTAGATTTAATGCATGTCTCTTGCCTACATCTACTGCAAATATCAACACATACTGTTCATCTCCTTTTTTTGTTGTTGTTTTTGTCTATTGCTATTTTATGCATGAGGAAGTTCTTGTTTTCTACTCTGTGCTTGGCTGGCTTTTTCTTTTTTTGTTACTTAGCCCTGTGTTCGTACTGATTGCTTTTTCGCATGCAAATTGCAGAATGTCATGGAAATGAGAGAGCTCTGAAAAAAAAGGAAAGATAATGCTGAGTTCCAACTGTCTTTTGTTTGTGCGTAAGTGTGTAAAATATATGACATGGAAATATTTTCAGAATGGCCTTTGACTTTCCTTCTGATGTATATTTTTGTTACTCAGTAAAGGAGTGGGCATTTTTCCCATTGGAAAATATGATAAATCTATAAATATTTGTTAATAATACAGGTGTTTGGCATAAAGGAATTTTGTCTCACCATCCTTTTATGGAGATAAGGAATTATGAACCTGGATGCCTTGCCCAAGCTAAAATTTCAATTCAATACAACTTTTTGCATGAAACCCTGGCCCCATTGAGATCAATGGCAAAAGTCATTGTCTTCAGTTGGTCTGGGATTTCACTCTTGTTTCTGGTTTACATATGGATTTTCATGTTTCTTTACAAATATCTCAGCAGGTAGTCAAAGGTTTCAAGAGTATCTACAGTTCTATTAAAAAGAGATTGTGATGAATGTGTCAAAAACCCCCCAAAATTAAACCCGTGCTTAGGGTTATATGAAGCATGAGCTGAAATGGTTGAATTTAGAAATGGGAATTAGCATTTGACAGAAAATATTGTTTTAACCAACTGTCAAGGCTTTTATTAACCACCTTATTGCATCAAATGCAAGAGGTAATTTGGCGGTTCTTGTCTCCACTATTCCTAATAAGAGCAACAGGAGAAAACAATTAAATGAAGTGGATAAATACAGTCTATGGCGGGGTATGCTTTTAGTAAACAAGCTTTGATTCTTCATTTTAAAACAATAAATCACTGGGCACTCTCTGATTCTTGTGCTAGATGTTTCTAATAACCATACCCCCTAGGGAAGGTTCTGCTGTAATGTTTGAAAAACTTAATAAAAAATGGGTTGTTATAAACTAAGATTTCCCCTCCCTGAAAATGTTTTTCTTGAAACGTCCGTGGGAATTTAATATTCACTGTTTTTTTTCCTCAGTCTTGTATATTCTTGAATTGTCTTTTTTCCTCCATTTTCTCCGTTCTTAATCCTAGGTCCCCTTACAAAGAAACAGACAGATGATTTAGGTGATAATGACGGTGCTGAAGATGAAGGTATTTTTTGCCGCCAAACTGATTTGCATGACAAGGATCCCTGAAAATCTTTTTTCTCCCCTCTTTTTTTGACTTCTTGTCTTCTTTTGAAGAGTTTTTTTTTGTTTTTTTAATTCCCATTTTTGATGTGTTTTGTCTTCTTGCTTGTTGTTATACATATATATTTTTAATTTTTTAAAAGAAAGAATGTTGTTAAGTTCTACGTTTTGATACAAAACAGTAACAATATTTAAAAAGGAGGGTTTTTGTTTTCTTGAAATGGACTTTTGATATGTTGCATCCCACCTTTTGACTGAATTTTGTCCATACTATTTAAACTAACACTCTTTTAAAGTTTCTCTGTACACCTTTTTGCATGTTTTCTAACCCTATGTATTTCACCAAGTACAAAGATGTTTCTTTTTTTTTTTCACTGACTGAACTCAGTTTGATAAACATAGCAAATGTTGTGTTTACAAAAGGAAAAATTCAGAAAATTCTTTAAAAGTGTCTCTTAAGCAACTGAATTTCCCCAAATACCAACTCATTTGCATTTATCCTGCCATGAAAAAATATAAATATTAAAGGGTAACCAACCTCCCTCCAGAAAGGAGGCAGCATTGCCTGTTGGTAAAGCTCTGTGGAGCTAAACTAAAACTAAAAGAACCCGAACTCTTCTGTTTTCTGCAAGCATACAAATATGCTGATCCGCTTGAGCTGACCCTTACAAAACCCTATTACCAAGTAAAATCAAAAGTTTGAAATGTCAAGCATATTATTCCGTTCATAAATTATGTCTGTTGATCATGAAGCTATGCAGATTTGATATTTTTTCAGGGCTATGAAAATGGTAACAAGGGGCTCTTTCTCTGAGCAGTCTCATCCCTCCAAGTAGATGTGCTCCAGAGTTCTGAATCTTAAACACACACTTTGTATGGTTTATGGTCAATGAGTAAAACAAATTGCCATATAGGACTGGTAGAGCTGCTGCTTGCTTCTCTCTTAATATTTGGGGTGGCAGAGGGGAGTTGGCCAGACACTAAGATGAAACTTAACTTGTAGACTGAAAGGCTCTTCATGAAGAAGTTTTTCATCTCACAGAACATCAAATACTTAATTTAAACTGAAGCACAGTCTTTTCAGAAAAGATTAAGGAAGGCAAATTTGAGCATTTGGCTTCTTATCCAATAACTGAAAACAGATTTTGTCACAATTTTATGACTGATTTATGATCCTCTACTGGTTCTGTATGTTAAGCATACGAATGAAAGCCCACCAGCTGGGCCAAAATTTGCAAGATTTGATGATTTTGATAAATAGAAAATCTCCTTTGAAAGCTCTCCTGTGGTGGTTTAAGCCAGCAGGCAGCTAAACAGCACAGAGCCAGTCACTTACTCCTCCCTGGGGGAGAGAACTGGGGAAGGAAATATAAAAGTAAAATTATTAATTGAGATAAAGACAGTTTAGTAGGACAGAAATGAAATAAAATAATAGCAATAATGGTGATAAAAAAATAAGGATATGCCAAACATGTGGTGGCAGAGAGCAATTGCTCATGGCCCCTGGCTGATGCTCAGCAGCTCCTGAGCAGTGACCCCCAGCCAGCTTCCCCCCAGGTTACATGCTGAGCTTGTTGCCATAGGATTTGGAATATCTGGAATATCCCTTTGGCCTGCTGGGCTCAGCTGTCCTGGCTCTGTCCCCTCACAGCCTCCCCAGTACTTGCTGGGGGTGTGAGGAGCTGAAAAGTCCTTGCCTTAGTGCACTGCTCAGCAGCAACTAAAAAATCAGAGTGTTATCAAAGTTATTCTCACCCGAAGTGTACAAATTAACTCTGTGCCAACTGAAATCAGGCCACACGTTATTCAGAGCTAATTATGACAATTCAGATCCTCCCAGCTTTATGAAGTCAGGACATTTTTACATGGGTCCACGACAGAATATTGCAAGTAACATTCTTATGAAATCTCAAAGATCTGTGATAGTGAATTAGCCATTTCAAAAATTGCGCTGTCCTGTTTTAAAAATATGTTTTAAGAAACCATTTGAAATTTGGGCTATTCACCCAGGGGGCCTTAATAGCTCTCCTAAATTGCTGTATAATTGCCAAGATGCTAATGACATCAGATTTGTTGAGTCCTTCTCTGCTTAAACAGACTTAAAAGAAACTCCTCAGTTTACTGAAATTCAGCAGAGAGTGGTTGCTGTCAGAAAGTGCTTTAGTAGATAGGCTCAGATGAGAGGAGGGATCTCAGTCTGCTGAGAGCAAGTGTCCATGTCAGGGAAAACCTGTCTCCCTCTTTGACAATTGCAGGAGAGAGAAGAAGGGCTGTAAGAACACAGCAGTCAAACTAGAGGGGAAGAAGCACATTTACAACACTAATAAATCTCTGTAATTTATAGGACTGGGATTAATTTTCTCTGGCGTACAAGTGACAGTTTTGTTCTCCTTTCTGTGCCAATAGAAGAGTGCAGGCAGTAATTAGAGTTTTACTGCTTCCGAGAGGCACAGAGAGACAGGGAAAATTTAAATTTTTATGTTCACTAGACACTCAAGACTGCTGGGATGTCTGCTGGGTTGATAGAAGCCCTGTCTGCTGAGACCCTGCATTTCCCAGAAGAGGAGCAGGATCAGATGTCCTGCATTTTTGTGAACCTGCTCCTCTGTATTGAAACTCTAGCACTTGTTGCATGTGCAGAATTCAACAGTTCACAATCCTAGCCATATGTGTTTGTGTATGACTAGCAGGAAAGAGAGAGCAAGGTCACCTTAGCTGGCTAGATTTCTGCTAACCTGTCCTTCAAAGCCTTCACTTTTTGTGTTATGGTAGATTTTAGGCAGTGTAAAATCCTTCAAACGAAGAGCTGTGGAAAAATAAAACAAATGCTAAACTGAATGAATGATGAAATTGGAGCATTAGGGAGACTGGGCTGTACATAGTGCAAAACAACTGTTATCAGATATCCATAGAGTCCATGTTGTATAAATAATGCCCAGTCATTTCTGAAATGCCCAAGAAGGTCTCTGCATCAAAAAATCCAGAGAGCTCATGTCTATTTATTGCATTTTATCTTTCTGAAGAAAGATCTTCCATAGCAGCTTCTTGTAGCAAATGTCTGGAGAGCATTTTTGGGTTGTGCCACTCAAATATCTGAGCTTGATTAGAAGATTTCATTTTAAAACACTCTTCAATAATCCCACTCCCACCAGCTGCTGCATGCCACTACCACAGTATTGTGGTCCAAACCTTGCCAGCCCAAGCACTGGAGTCAGTAATCAAACTTGGAGCTCTGGTATATGCTGCAACCAGTAGACCAGGCTTAATTAGATCATTTTTCATTTTTGTTTTCAAAAGACCCAAAGGCAGTAGTGCACATTACCAGCTAATGATCTGCAAATTTCCTGTTTAAAAAATGAAGGTGTTTTCAAATTCTATGAGTGTGAAAAGTCAGAAATAACATAAATGTCTTTTTTCTTCAGTCTGGATGCATTATTCATTCTGTTTAACCCTTTCATTCCTACTCTTCTATTGCTTACCTGTTTTCAGTAAATATTGAATGACTTGAGCAGGCAGCAAAAACAAGAGTGCCAAAAGCACATCCAAACAGTGAGCACTGGGGCTTTTCCCCTTTATAGCAGTGGTGTATTTACTCATTTGCTGACCTGCAGGTATGCAATATCAAGTGTAGATGCAAGATTTATATTCAAATTGCCCAGCAGTTACACAAAGTGTACTTTCCTCACTCTGGTAACAAGGCTTAGTTTTAAAAAGTAAAATATTTTAATCTTATTGCCTTGCCTTAGTCTTAATTTTGGTCAGTAAATAATTTAAGTTTAATTTGGCTATAGCAAAAATCAGTGACTCTTATGCACCCTTAGTTCCTAACCACTAAAATCCTAAGCATAACCTAAAATATGGCAACACAAACCATTAACCAGCCAATGCACTCCGGGATCAGAACTGGACTTGTAAGCAGTTTGTGTTGTATGAAATATCCATGAAGGATTGCTCACAAATGAATTCTCATCCACTGCTCTATCATACACACCTTGCCTGGGACATCGATCTGTCAATCTTAAACCCTTATTTAGTCCCCAGTGCTGTTTGAGCATCTCTCAGTTTTTAATGTATTCAGGCTCACAGCGTCCCTCTGCAATACAGGAATGCTGCTATTCCATTTTTAGAAAGGAAGAATACAGATGCTAAGCCTGAGGAACGCAGACACCATGTCTGCTGCTGAGAGTACATGCCTCAGAAGTGGGGTCTGCACTGCAGTTGATAGATGCTTCTGCTCTTCCCTCCTCCCTTCCAATGTCTACTGTGGAAAAGGAGACAGATTAGGAACAGATGTTGCTGTTTGCTCACAGGCTGTAACTGTGATGTTTCTGATAATTTAGTCTGCTGCTCTGTCTTGTATGGGCTATTGGACTTCATTCACAGAAGGAAGATCTCGGTCCAGAGCATATTTTAAATCAAAAAAGCCAAAAACCCACTCAAATTTTAAGTTGCTAATGATGCAGAATTCATCTGCAAATCCCTCTTATGTTTAACAGACTGTAGTGCCATTGGTGTGAAGGAGCACATTGCAGAGGTGAGGCTCTCCAAAAGCCTCCTATCACTCCATTGCTACTAAAACACACAGGGATGCCAAGTTTGGCATTTCATCTGCCTCAGCTGCCATGGTAAGAAAGAGAGGGAGCAGCACTTTTTCTCTCTGGCACTGGTTGCACATTTTTGGGCTTTGGAGATCAGCAAATAGAAGAACACATTTGTCTGCCCTGCAAAGCAGCCACATGCTTCAGCCTTAATTACAGAGAGCCAGCCAGGTTGGGGTAGCACAGATCTGACCACTTTGGGTGAGCTTGTTGGCTGATGCACGTAACCAAATTCAGGATTCCTGTTCCTCATGTCACCCATTCGTGTTAGCTCCACGATTTCCTCTCCAAAGTACAGCTTCCAATGCCACTTGCACATTAAATTGTGCTGATTATATTTTCTCTTTACACACAGTTCAAATTGTGTCAAATTTTTGTCGTGATGTTATTAATACTTGAAAACATGTATGATGAAATTCTGACAGACCCTTAATTTAAGTACCTCTTTAGGGCTTCATTTTACTTTCAGCACTGCCAAGCATTGCTTGTACAGTGAAGAGTCTGTCAGCTTTTGCATTTCTAACGATCATCCTTTAATAATTTAAAATTACTGCCTACCTGGCTATTGAGGTCCTACTCTAATGGGAATCTGCTCCAGACGTTTACCTGTAAAAGCTTTGGCCTTTTTCATGCTAGGATAACATTCATATAGTCCTCCATCAGGATCTCAAATAATTTTCAAGTGAAGGTAGTTAAGGGTTTGAGAGGGCACAAAATGATCCCCTGGTTTGACAGATAGGAAAGCAAACAAAGGGAGAGAATTCTATTTGTCTGAAGCCTGATGGATGCAGGCTGTATTTTAAAGTAGAAAACATATCTGAAACTCCTCACAGAAGCTCAATAGTGTAATCATCTCAGGACATCTAGTTTTATATCTCATGTTAGAAATGTGGCATTCATGGATGTTTACATATTAGGACTAAGCACAGTAGTTTATTATTTATCTGTAAGGCATCTGATGGATTTTAACTGAAAGGTCAAATGCTGTTGAAAGGCCTTAAAATTATTAAGAGTAGCAATGATTGGTACCATACTTTACTTAAATATTTTCTACAAAAGCTTATGGAAGAGTTGCACACATATCCACATAACATTCCATGTAGGGCACATACAGGTTTTGCACTAACCCATCTAAAAGTTTTCCACTGTTCTAGTGCTGTTTCATATTCAAAACCCAAGATTTACTAAACAATCTGCATCAAGCTGTCAAAATTTTTTATGCCATCTAGAAAAGCAATGCTTATGACATCAGTGCTAAACTAATTATCTTTTTGTTTGAAGTTGTCTCCAGGTAGGCTTTTTTCCTTTCCCATTTTGGCTGTTCCCTGCAAATTATGCTTGTTAAGTCACGTGGCCAATTCACAGCAGTTTTGAACGACTGAAGCAATAATTATGTTTTGTTATATATGACAATTGTGACTGATATTCACAGTCAGTCCTGGTTCCCTGTTGTGTAATGTAACAAACATAGAAAAAGTCAGCCCTATTCCTAAACTGTCTGTAACGTAATTAAGATGAGACATAAAAAGTAGATGCAACAAACATTAGAAAGGTACAGAAGAGATAATAGAAATAATTACAAGAAAGTTAATATATATGTAATATAAATAAAGTTTTTCCTCTTCTGTACAGTAAGATCTACTTAGATGTTTTATGAACTAGCAATTTAAAGCCAAGCAAAGCACAGCACTCAAAAATGATCTTCTGTGTGACTGAAACCAGAACTGAGATGAATTTGAGAAGGATTTTTAACAGTGTTATCCTTGCATATGTCTTTGAATAGATTAATGTGTCCGTTTTCAATTAAAGCAACACTTAATAAAAAGCAACAAAGTGCAGAACACAACTAAATTAAATCAGTCTATAAATCTGCCCTTGGCGGAAATGCCACAATTACACCTAAAGTCTTCAGGTTCAGAATGAGCTACAAACACAAATAATATTAATCTGCATATGAAAGTTTAACTGCAGTGTCCTGAGATCACTCCAGAACATGCATAAAAAGGACTGACACCAGCCTGTAGGAAAACATGAAAGATGTATCACTTATGGTCAGGTTTTGAAAAGTACCTGAGTACCAAAAATATCAATTATTTACTTAATTGACTCCAACACTTAACTTCAATATTCACTTTTGAAAAGTGCATCTTTCTGCCACTTTTGTACCAATATACAAAAGTGCTCTCCTCACAGAGTATTATCTTAATTCTTCCTCCAGTTTTGTTTTAAAGGATGAGAGTTTTCACGGAGGAATATTTTAAGGCAAGAATCTATTCTTGATTGCAGCCTGATATTTTTTCTCTCTTCCTTTGATCTTATCATTAAATAACCTCAGTTGCTAATAACATATATACTTAAACAACACTTTCCCAGCTGAATATTTGCAATTTTCAAATATTCCTGGCTGTAGACTGCAATTGATATGAAACCTGTGACCAAAATGCAGTGATCTTTCTTTTTTGCCATGAAGAGCTCCACAGATTTGTATAATGCATAGCCCAAAGTGCCCCCAGCCTCAGCTGAATTCTGCATACTCTGACTGATGTCTCCAGCACTAGATCACTGGAATAAGACTCTCAGATGCACAGTTTTGCTTTTGTAGGAGGGATTCCTCTTATGACTGATGACTTTGGCAAAGCAGCATGAAGAAAATTCATTCTGCATGTCATTTGCTCTGACATGGCACAGAGGCAGAGCTGAAAACTGGCCTTCCCTTATCTATCTGATCTGTAATCTTTACAAGGATATTAGTAGTAGAAAATAACAGTATTGTGGAGACAGAAATTACTCAAAGAATAGCTTCCTTATATATGAGATTTTTACTCATCAATATGTGCTTCCTTTCTCAGATAAAAGACACCCATTCTTTTCTAAATATTCCAATAATATTTTCCAGATATACAGGCCAGTGCTACCAACATTTCATTGCTGTTCACAGTTGGTGCTCTGTAATTCTATGTAATTTTAATTAAAGAAGAATTCTGAGACAGTCTCCCCCTGTGTTACCATCAAGCATACAATTAACTGTGTACAATTTCTGCTGGGAACAGTCACACAGTGATTTCAGATTAATAATTTATTATTGCTTCCATATTTGTATAAAAAAAGAAGGCAGCATAGACTAAGAACAAAGCATCTACTGAAAACAGTATATGAATTTGGAAAGACAGCGTAGATTTTAAATCTGAGAAGTTCATAACTCCATCCTATGGACAGTGAAGATAAATAATCTCTAACTTTACACTCTGAAAGCTGCATGTTGGAAAGCCCTCACTAAAGGCTCAATCAAGGAGAGCAATACGAGCAATTTCATGCACAACCTTTCACATCTCTTTGGTCTTGAATAAGTGATTGTTCCAGTACTTCCAATATTGAAGATCCAATTTCTGATCTTGACTGTTCTGGCATTTTCTTCAAATTAGAATCAATATCAAAATAATAGTAGCAGTTGGCTTTTTATAAACAGAAACATCTGTGCTGATGTTTTTCAGTGAGTTCCAAACCCAGGGTTTTTAGTGTAACTGCCCCCACCTACTCCTTACAGCACTTCAGAAACAATTCTAGCAGTTCTGCAGAGAGCTCCCTTGAAAGCTTCTTAACTAAGATCCTTCCAAATCAAAGGAATAAACAATACATCTGAGGTTTCTTCAAACGCTGAAGGAAGCAATCAGAGAAATCACTTGAATACTGTCATAATGACAAAAAAGTATTTTTGAATCAGAATATTCAGAACAATTCCTCACTGGGAAATTTTCCTATGCTCTCTTGCTGTTGTCTTTCTTGATTTTGAGGGACTACTATGGCATATTATGATATGGGTGGTAGAAGAGGTTCAGGAACCCAGTAAATCAGAACAAAATACAAGTTAATCAGATGTAAAAGTTTAAATTTACACATAAGCTGATTTATGTGGTGTCCAACAGAAAACCCCCAACTTTTAAAAACATATTAGCCTATACTAACTGTTTTGAATTGGTACTCAGGAACAATTTTTCTCAAAAGGAAAATAGAAAAAGGAGTAGCACTGTTCATATATTCAAAATTTTATTCTGAGTAGATGCATCCGTTTGCAAATAGGACTGTTTGGGGGTGGAGGGATAGTAAATCAAAACTCAAAACAGTATGACAATATCTAATTTTGTTGTCGGAGAGAATGGCAGAGTTTCTAACGTTTTAAAACTGCTCCCTGCCTTTGATGTCACTTTTGAGAATCTTGCAATTTTTTGAATACAGAGTGGGGATTTTTCACTATTGTTCCAGGCAGTTATTTTTTCAAATACTCAGTCATTTTCATGATTTAGGAAACTAAGGAGTACCCATGCACCTTAAACTTCAGGCTACTCAAGTTATCAATATTCTTAATTCAAGGTCTAAGTGCTAAACAACTTTCAAGTACTTTTTGAACTCAAACTTCAGACCCATCTAAAGACAGCTGCTTGTACACTCCTTTTATGAATTAATGGACTGGAAGAAATCAACATTTTTATATATGAGCAGAAATCTTGTTTATCTTAATATTTTGGATTTCCCTTAGCTAAATGAACAGAAAGTTGCACTGAGCTGTCAGAAGTGTTCAGCCAAAAGGAGCTCACTCTTATGCTAGTAGAAATTACATAGAAGACACCCAATTCAGCAGGGTCAGAATCAGAGCACTGCCTTACTGCATTTGAGCAAATCTGTTACCATTTTCAGTTCCTTTCTGCTTTTCAGGGTGTTTCAAAAATAGGAGTTTTTGTTACAAGCAAGTCACAAAGAGACACTTGTGCCCACCTGCCCATTTCCTTATGTAAAAGATGTTGCTTGAGAAACACTTACAGAAAAAATAACCTCACTAAAAATAAAATAAAATTAAAAAAAAAAATAGAAAAAAAATTAAAATATTGCATGTATCTTCTTTGGTGCTTTCTTGAGATAAAATGTGTCTTAATATTTTTTCCAGACATTCGGGACAGTGGGGGACCTAAGCCTGTGATGGTGTATATTCACGGAGGGTCCTACATGGAAGGCACTGGAAATTTATATGATGGCAGTGTTCTAGCAAGTTATGGGAATGTGATAGTCATCACAGTCAACTATCGCCTTGGGGTACTTGGTAAGAAGCTTTCAGCTTTCCACTAATCCCTGCTATCTGCAATGCAATTCATATTATATGTGAGAATGTGCTTAAAAAAAAAAAAAAAAGAAGGGCAGAAGAGCAACAACAAGTGTTTTTAAATTTTCTTTGTCAAATATAAGGTTTGTATTCTGGGGATGAGATATAAAGATATTGCAAGTATTTTCTGGAAGAGCCTGCTGTCATGCTGCATGAAAAAGGTATTCCCATTGCTGAGCTGTCCAGGCAGAAAAATTTCTGGTGTGGTTTTATTTTGGGGGGTTTGTTTGTTTGTTTTTGGGGTTTTGGGGGCTTTTCTTGTTTGCTTGTTTCTGTGAATAATACTGATGCTTTAATTCATAGGCAGGTAAATTAATTTTCAAAAATATTTTGAGCCATAGAAGGCAGGGTTTGCTACTAGAATGAAAGAGACTTAAGTACCACGATTTTTTCATGTTTTGAAAAAGTGAAGGATGTTATGAAAGCATCCTTTTACCTGTTTGTTTTGAGCTTCATTGTGGTTTTGAGAAGTGGTATGGGTGTCATTTAGGACCTTCAGTATTTATTTTCCAGATGATGAATTAGAGAATGAAAGAGTTACCTTTGATTGTTTCAAATACATTCAATAGAATTTGCTTGTGCCGTTGGTAGAGGTGGTGTGGTCTCCTTCTGGTACCTTGTATTTGTGGAAAAAAAATTACTCTGCTCTTTTCTCAGAGTAGTCACATGCATGACAAAGTTCACCAGTTCTTGAGACAATATGATTGTTAGGGGTTTTTTCTGCATATTCTACCAAAGTATTGCATGCTAAGATTCCTGAAAGGGTATAATGGACATCAGAACAGTAACCTCAGAATACTTCTATAGGTGTGAGGGTATTCTCTGGAACATGTGAAAGGGTGTGACAGACCAAGGGTCATTCACAGCAGAGAATTTATTCTGAAGACCAGTCAATTTTATTTTCAAACGTCTGCTACTCTGCTTTGCTTTTGTGTTGTTGGCTTTTGTTAATCATTGCTCTGTTCTTGGTGTTTTAAATTCAGTTAATACAGTCCCCAAGTGCATTGGCTCTGCTTTGCTCATTTGGGTAATTGTCTCCAACAGTTTCATATTTGTTAGAAATTTGACATCCTAATTTCAGGGAGAGGGAATGGATTTTGACTTTAGATTTTGAAATTTAGTCTACTGTGATTGTGTTTTGCAAGGGACTGAATTATTTCCAGAGAGATCATAACTATTATTGTCTGGATTTATTCCCTTGGTAATGGAGATTACATTTGTGATGTAACACTTTAAGTAAGGAAGTTTTGGTATTTTTTATGGTTTTCTTACTCCTGTTTTCCAATTATGTGATGACTTCAAGTCCTGGACACATATTAGTACAGAAGTTAATAATTTGTTACCTGTGTCTCTAATCAACATTTCCGTTTAACACTCAACAATATTTCTCTGTATTATATGCCAGCATAAAAGAAAGCATCTATTATCTGAAAGGGCTCTTTATTTTTGTCTATTATTTAATCTGATTCCTAAGTCATTAGTAATTGCAGTGTTTAAAAGGGCTAGTTGCTTGAAAGATGAAAATCAATACACCTTTGTTGATGATAATAGTTTTTCCACTTGTAAATTAACACTGATCCCTGAAGTAACCCACAGCTAACATGTCACTGAGTTTAGGAGGATTTAATTTTTGTTCATGTCTTTGTGATTCTTTGGGCTTCATAGTCTTTACTGAGCCTCAAGGGTCAAAGTGCTGATTTTATTTTAAGTGGGACCTATAAGAGTAAAACCTCTAAAATTCACAGCAGAATCCAGTGATTGGTATGAATACTTGAAACTACTGTCTGTAAAAGGTTTGCAGGGTTTTCTTAGTAAAACCAATGCTGTTTATGAAGGAGTCCTACACATCTATTGTATTTGGTGCAATGCCTATCTGTTATGTATTAAATAAATAATGATGATGTATGATTAAATAGGTAGTGGAGAAACAGAGCAACATTCAGAAAAAAAACTTTGAGCAGTTTAAATTTTTTCTGCTTTTCCTTGTTTTCTAATCTACAGATACCATCAGAGTAGGATTGTGCATAATCATAGTAGATGCCAGTTTTCAACTTTAATATTTTGAAACTCTTGCTCTTCCTTGTTCCAGCAGAATGTTACCCTTTGCAGTCACATTGAGATATGGATTTACAAAAGCATAGCAAACAAATTCTCAGCTTCCCTTACCTGATCACACCCCAGGTGAGAGGTCCAGCTCCAGCCTGTGAGACACTTGCACATCACATCACCACTGTGTGGAATGCCTGGCTTTACAGGCAGAAGGAAAATTTAAGGAATTAATAATCATGTGAGAAGATGTAGGGATGAAAAAAGGTCTGTCTACTTCCTTCCACGTGACCTTTATTGGTCTGGTTTCCTGTATCAGACTTTTGTGGATATATATCTTTATACAGGTGATCTCTGTGAGTCATCTGCCATCGTTTCACCAAGATGTTGACTTTTCTTAAATAAAGAAAATGAAAAATCATTATTATTCAATAAATTTTTAGAGCTGAAATAGTAACATTTTCTTCCAGACCGATCATGATGGGACTGGGGATGTATTTTGATTTTAGGTTCCTCACAATACTACTATTAAGTCCACAGTAGACAGCTTTTGATGCAGTTCAGATTATTTTCCTGTTTATTCTGAGCTGAAAGACCCTTTGCTTTATGGACTAATCTCCTCAAGGAGCTGTGATTTTTGGAGATGCAAGATTTACTTCTAAATAAAATGTTAGAAAATGCTTAAAAGTGAAATCCATTTGGTAAAGAGAAAACAATAATAAAAAAATAAAGAATGATGGAGCAAGTGCATCTAAAATAAAAATAAAAACAAAAATTAAAACAAAATAACAAAATACATTAACCAAACAATCCAACAAAAACTCAAAGCCCTGGTGAGTTTCCTGGCCCAATTTCGTCTTTGAAACAAGTCTGAGAATGAAAGTCTGCTAGGAACTGTTCTTAGATAAAGATGATGGAAAAAGAACTGTTTGCCCTGGGAAACTGGGAACTCCTGAATAAGAAGTCACTGGAAACCCTGTATGTCTTCTTTAGATTCTTTCTGAATGCAAGTCTTGTGCAAGCAATTTCACCACGAAGGAATACTGCAGAATAGCCTAATAGCCTTGAAGGACAGTGAAGATATATTTTTATGGCTTTGTTTTGGGAAAGGACAGATATGAAGACAAGTTTGGATTTTAAACTCAGGTGAAAGGAGATGCCAAATGTTTACTCAATATATATCCACCTGGTAAAAAGCAAAAGGATTTTATTTAATTTTCATTAAGAAAATGGAAAAGATTTATAAAAGAAATCTATTCAACATCCAGAAAAGATCATGATGGACAGATTTAATACAGCCAGTGCTGTTTTCTGTGTTCTTTGTTATGAAAGGTTTATTTAGAGAAGGAGAATGCTTTGGGTCACCATTGGCTACTACTGCTTTAAATGTCAATAGTGGAGAGAAAGGAGAGAGCTGGTTTATGCTAACTGGGAATTTTTTTCTTCATTTTATTGATTTATACTCTTTACTCTTGGTTATCTTTAAGCCACAGGACTTTAATAGAACTTAAATAGAAAAAAAAAATTTGTATTGAAGCTCACAAACTGAACAGGAGGAAGGAATAATGACTTAGAGAAATCTCTAGTTTGAGCATTGCTTTAAATTTCCCATTTTTATCTCTTTAAGAGGCAGTGGTTCTCCCTACAGAAACAGTAAATTGTCATTCCAAGGGTCTGGGTCAAAGGTGGTAATAAATAAAAAGGAAAAATTGTCTGTATTTCGTATTTTCTGTTAGGCATTCTGATAATGTCTGCCTTGGGAAGGCAAACATCCTAAACTTTTAGACCAAAACTCATGTCAAAATGGAATCACACCCATGAGTGAGATTGTCCTCGTTATGCCTTCTTTAATTATATGAAATTTTCCCTTTTGAGGAGGGAATAGGAACCATTACTGTCATTTAGTCTTGCATTTACAGTCACCCTCTAGTTTGAGAATATTGTCTGGGATTACTGAACAGAAAACACTTATCCAAGTGTTCCACCACTTCAATTTTTTTTCCATTTGGTACTTTTAATGCAGCAGCAGACTGAAAGCTCTGATAACATTACTCAGTGCATTATTTCCCAAATAAGTGCACTGAAATCAATGGGGCTCTTCATGCAGGGCATCCCCTTGTGACAGAGCCTGCTTGCCCATAATTTGAAGTGGTGAGATGAAGAACAAGGGTACTGGAAAGGTATTTGCTCCCCTTGCACAGAACTGCTTCTGAGAAAAGCTGTTCTTAGAAGTCTGTTGTGTTTTCCAGCCCAAAATTCCATTTTTCTGTTGTGTGAGCCAGCTGTGCTGGGCTGCAGCATTCATGCCAAATAAAACACATATTAGTGACAGAAAACAGAACAAAGCTCAAAATACTGTCACAAAAGCCCTTTCTTAACTTTTTTAGTGACTGTTGGAGCTTTATGGATAATTTAGTAACAGCGGATGAGTCTTATTATGCCATAAAATGTTTTGTTGCTCCGTGTCTGGATAGATTATGAAAATACCTCATGTTTGAACATGGATTTGCTGCTGTGGAGAATGATGCCAACCTGCAATCTCTTATTGGCCAAAGAGGTACATGAAATACAAAGCCACAGCCCTGCAGTAAGAGTTGGGCAACCTGTGGCAAGCCCAGAATTTCTGCCCTCATCCATCCTCCTCTCAGCAAGGAGCTGCACATTCCTAACAGGCCAAAAAAAAAAAGCACAACCTTTCCTTTATGAGCAAGTTTATGTGCATCAGTGCTATGGCAATTGCAGAATGTAGCCTGGTGAATCTTTTCATGGGATGAAGAATTATCAGCTGACCCTGTGCAGGTCCCAGAGATGAGAATCTATTATAATGAAAGCTGCTTCAGAGTAATTTGGACATACCTGCCTATTTCAGGAGTCTAAATCCATTTGGATTGACT